GACTTTCTGTACCGACTGTTTATTTAAGTAAATTGCCTTTGATTATTATTCACAATCTATAGCCTGTAGAAATGTAGTTTTGTTGTCACAGTGAGCATTGTGCTTTACACAAGTACTTCCTTCAGGTAATTCATATGCTTAATTAAGTGTGATTAAAAGATTCCCTTGCTATGTTTATTCATAGCTGAAGCATAAAATTGGCCCACAGTTGTGTTAGGTAGGTAGGTGGGTAGGTACTTTATTGATCCCTCATTGGGGAAATTTCAGTGTTTCAGTAGAAATGGAGAACAGTGTTAGCATTCAAGTCTGACAGAAGACATTTTGTTCTATCTTTTTTTCTCTCGCATAAACTTTTAACATTTATTTTTCCACCCCAGCCTCTTTTGACCTCGCTTTTTCTCCACTTATGCTTTAACCTCAGCATACCACACCAAATACTGTGGCTGCCTCTAGACTTCACCTAGCATGTGACTACCCCCGCTGTTTGCAGAGCTGGTATGTCCCGAGAACAAGGAGTCACCTCCCCTCCCTAATTCAGACTTGTCTCCACTCCAAGGAAATGCACTGTACCTTCCTGTTGAGCAAAGAAACTATAGTTACATTCTTCCAGCTGGACAGATACGTTTAGAAAAGGGCCAGGGTGTCTTCTCTGACGGAGGTTGTTGTAGAAATTTAGGTTGTCAAGTCATGGTGGGAATACTTCTGAATCACTGGGAGAGCTTTTGAACCCTCCTTCCCTCCTCCTCCAATGTTTCAGTGGTTGAGGCCATGGCCTCTCAATCAGGGTAAGAAATGCACAACTTATTAGCTGCTTTACTTTTTCTTGCTAGAAATAAAGCACTTCAATTTTATATATATGTATACACACACACACACAAGAGATACTAACATGTTTTTGGGTGTCCTTGGAAAATGGCTGTGTCACAGAAACCCAGTCCTGTGCTCCTACTGCTCAGATAATCATCAGTTATGTTGTTTTTTGTTTGTTTGTTTTTCTCTGTGCTTGTGCTGAGGACATGGTCTGGCTGTTTTATTGTGATGATTTAGAAAGAGGCAGATGAGCTGATTAGTTGAGGTACAACATGAACTGCCTTTTCAACTCTGGAGACTTTGACCTTTTTATAGTCTGGCAAATGCTGTTGGAGGATTACAAGAAAAGTAGCTGACCATTAAATTTTGATAATAAATGCCATGTAAACTCACTCTGTGTAGGAAGTAATTGGCTTAGGCAAGCTTTTTGTTGTTCTTTTAGTTGTTTACTGTGCTGGCGATTGATTAGCTCTGTAGTGCTTGGGCCTTGGATGTAGGCTTGGCCAAATATTCAAACAAAGTCAAATTCATGGTCTGAGCCTATAATGTTTGTTTGTAAATGAGTAAAATAGAAGTAAGGTTTGTACTGAGTGTTCTCTACACAGGTTGGGTTTAGTGTGTGGTTTTCTTGAAGGCCATAGGTAAATAGCTGAATTTGTGGTTATTGATTCATCTTATTTATACAGCCCAATATATGAGCTGCTGCCTTCATTTGGGCCGCACATACCTGGGCAGGGAAACCCCGAATATCAGATTAAATTTGAAAGTTAGAAATTCCACCTAGCATTTGGCAGCATCTGTTTCTGGGGAAGGATGACTACTGCTGAGAACATCCCTTCCACCATGCTGCCGTAGTTGCGTTGTCATGTTTCTTTCTGCATTGCATAAGATTTTTTTTTCATAGTGATTGCATTTTTCAATACCCCATGACATCTTCTGTGATGCTAGGCCACAATTGCACATACAATCTCCTGTCTACCATATTGGGTACAGTACATGTGAAAACCCAGCAATGTGAACTCTAATGCAGGTGCAGTAAAATAAAATGAAAAATATGTTAAGTACTGAGTTCATGATACCCAGCCCCACCAGTATGGATTTATATCAGTCAACTGTGGAAAAATAAGGCTCATCCTCATATTTTACCACTTGGAAAGTTTGTTTTCTTTCTATAGCATTGTTCATATTTGCTAGTCTTGAAAGATCTATGATTTCATCCATTTGGTCAAAATAAGATCATTTTATTTTGTGGCTTTACTCCCTATTAATAGAAAAATTCTTCTTTAGACATGAGGGAGACTTATTTACAGAGGCTTTAGGTCTTCTTTTAACTTACTATTTGTGCAAAGGCATTGTTGACCTGGTTCAAGCTCAGAGGTGTGCTTTCTGTTCACACAGTTGCATCATAACACCAAGATGAGTTTTTCACATTCTTTCCTCCATTATGTGCTTGGATTACATCTCTGTTTATTCAAAACCAAAAACACGCAGCTGTTTCCATACAGAGGACTATAGTACATGGGGACAGGAGCATTAGCTTTTGATTTGTACCATATATCACTTGAATGAGACAGACGTACTAGATTTGGGGAAGCCACAACATAAAACAGACAACTTCCTGGTAAATTTGACAGTATTTTTGAAACAATAATAAACCGGGCCTCCTGTTTAATGATTTTCTTTAGTGCTGTATAATAAAGTATGACAGTGTTCAGCTAACAAAAACCAATACAGTAGATAAGGTCAGTTATTTGTGCAGAATAGATATGAGCATCCATCCATTAGCTATACCGCTTATTCCTGAACAGGGCTGCAGTGGGGTTGGAGTCAGTCCTAGCTGACATTGGATGAGAGATGGGGTACACCCTGGACAGGTCACCAGACTATCACAGGGCTGACATGTAGACAGACACACACTCACTCCTACAGGCAATTCTGAGTCACCAGTCAACCTAATCTGCATGTCTTTGGACTGTGGGAGGAAGCCGGAATACCCAGAGAGAACCCATGTAGGCACAGGGAGAACATGCAAACTCCATGAACTCCCTGGTTGCCCAGGACTCGAACCCGGAGACCTCATGCATCAACATGGTCATTTACATACAGTACCAGCACACTAAAAAGCACCTTTAGTACATGATCATTTAGCTTCATTATTTGTCTGGCCAGTGGAAATGTGGAAAACTTAATTTCCTGTACATGAAACTGGACTTTTCTTAAACCACAGATGACATGTGCAGCACAAAAGACCTTCAAGTGATAGTTGCCTCTCAGATGAGTGGTAGAGTGGGCAAAATACCTAGCATCAAGCAAAATTCCCTAGAATGTGGTTGGAGGAAATGTTCTCTGCTGAATACGCACAAGGTAATGTGATCATTTCAGTTATAGCAAGTTTGTCATTATGCATTTCTACTAAAGTGTCTGTTTAGTTTTGGTTTTCTATAGTCTACACTTAGCTTCATGCTGTATGTCCAGAGATGATAACAGTGGTGTGGTAGATAGCCCAAAAAAGGTTTTATTTCTTAACACAACTACTGATGGTTGCTAATGGTGTGTCTTACAGACTTGGTCATGTCCTCACCTTTGATATAATGTACCTTGACAGTATTGTGTCAGTTATGTAGTCTGTTATGAGTAATGTTTACTGGAGTTGCGTGTTGCTGATGATGTAAAACAGACAAAGGCTTAGTAAAGAGGTTAGTTGGGAAATTATTTAGATTTTCTGATAGGTTTACAGATGGACAGTATGAAGTTGTTGTTAAAAGATACTTGAAATGGTTTTGTTCCATTGCTGGTCTGCAACATTGTTAGAGTGATAGTCAAGATCATTTTTCATTTAAGAGTTGTCATTTCTTACAGGAAACACATGGTTTCACATATGTAGCCTATGGTTTGTCTGTCTTTCACATCTCTAGTTTGCCTTCCCTGTGTATGATATTTCCTATTCTGGAATCAGTTTCTGGTGTGCTTCTTTTCGTTTTTTGAAAGCGCCCTTGTATGTTGTGTTTATAATCAAGGAGGAGGCTGGGTGGTTGCTGCATAATTGCACTCTGTCAACAACCTTAAAATCATTGTTGTCACTGGCAGAGCCTGAGGCTGTTGACTTAGAGCGAGAGGTGACACGCCTGGTTGATGACTTGCTTGTTTCTAATTTCAAAGCTCTGTAGCTGCTTTTTGTAAAACAAGATTGACAATGGTCACATTTGTCCTGTGTCAGGCCAGCTGTTCCCCAGTTTTGGTCACTGTGTGTACATAGTGTGAACATAGTTTTATTACATTCATGCATTTAGTGTTGGCTTTTTTCTCTGCTGTAAATCCATACATCCGCTGTGAAGGACATTGCCCTTTAAATAGCGCTCCACTTTTATGTTTGCACTACACTCATTATGCTCAGGAGGACAATAAGGGCAGAGTGGTGTTTTTAGCTGCCAGTTGCAGAGTCAGTGGCTTAAAGCTGCAGTTTGATAGCATGAGGTTATCATTTAATTCTTTTTACAGTCAGTTTTACCTTTTTCTGAGAAGACGTTCGTATTCTTTGCATGTGGTGTTAATAAGTGTACCTTCACTGTGTACTCCAACACCAGTATTCAAAAAAAATATGAGCTCTTCTGTTTGATTATGATCTTTGGTAAGCTATCAGCTGTTTGAAACTGTTGTAAATAGACTTTTTGTTGTATGACAACACTGAGAAAATGACCCCAAGTCGTTTCATCTGTACAAGGAGATTATTTGCTGTAAACACAGGCTACTGCAGAATGTCAAGACTAGCCTAAGCCTATTAGAGACTACTTTCTCCACAGGTGCCCCCCCCCAATGATGTGAAGGGTTTCACTAATGATGGCTGTGTTTGTGGTTTATCATAAAAACTGTGACTCAGAGTAGATAATGGCAGGCTGACTGTATGATTGGTTGTGAATAGATGGAAATTTGAACTATTTGGCATACTTTCCAAACATGGAAATTATTGCAGAGAAAACGGAAACTGGAGGGCCCAGGCTGTTTAGTTATGTCTCTTCATTTTTGTCTACGAGTACGTTTTAGGTAAATTCTTAACGATTTGTCAGGTGTTTCCTGTAAGAACATCTCACTTTCATAATACTGCTTCTTTTATTGCCATTCTTGTCTCTCTTTTTGGTGTCTGTCCTCTGTGTGGGCTTTATGTTGACTTATTGTTCTGTTTGTCGTAATAGCAACATGAACCGTGAGGACCGGAATGTGCTCCGAATGAAAGAAAGAGAAAGGAGAAATCAAGAAATCCAGCAGGGAGGAGGAGAGGCCTTTCCAGCAAATTCCCCCCTCTTCCCTGAACCCTACAAGGTGGTAAGTCTGGTTACTTCACATTCACTTTTAGCAATTGATACATCAATGTAGATGAATTTGCAACACTGACAGGAAGCAGGGACTACCAGAACATTCATAAGTGTGTCTTTATTTATTTATTTTACCTCTTTTATTAAACTGCTGCAGAATGCTCTGGTAGATATGGCCAACAGTGTGCAAAGCTGTCATCATGGCAAACCAGCGGACACTTTGAGGAGTCCAGACTATGAAACATTTTACTTTGTTTACAGCTTTTTCTTAGTACATAATTTCAAATGTTTTATTTCATGATTTTGATGGCTTTGCAATTACAAATAAGATACAGCAGCTACTTTTCCAAACATTTGTGGCTTGAATGATTGTTTAAATTCAGCTATTTACTAGCTCTTCACAAATTGCACAATAGTCAGTTGAACTGACAACACCTGCTCTTGTTTTAGCTGTTTTCTAGTGCAACTGTAGAAAGTAAACATGAGATCATACCAGCTTCCCTTTGTCGTCCTCCTGTGCTCACAGACACATGTATAGATATAGGCCATCCAACTCCCAGCTCCCACCTGGCCAGTATAATTACAAAGAGGATTAGAGTTCTCTGTACTGGTCTAATCTTTGCCACTAACCAGATTTGAGCAGAGGCAAGTGGCGCCTCTCCTTAGCTACAGCTAGCCATCAAAGCGGCAGTAAGGAATGTGGCCTGACAAGTTGTCAATCGATAAGTGCTGGCCTGTGTGTTTTGCACTACAATAAAGTGAAAGCTAAAAACCTGACTGTGAAGAAAGGTGCTTGACTTTTGCGAAGGAAAAGAATGGGTTGCAGCAAATAATTTTATTGTGCATGTTGTTTTTTTTGTTTTCAGAAACTGCTTTTAAATAAAAAAAAGGGGTTGATATGTTGTCCCCTGCTTGTCTAAGCTTCTCTTTAACTTTGCCCCTCCTGTCATGCTCCACAAAGTGTTGTGCATCAAAGGCCTGCAGCTGCAGCTGTGGCCTCCTAGATGTAGATCAGCAGAGCAGTAATATTTTTATAGTGCAGAGTTTACTCAGTTGTAACTCATGTGCACAGAATATAGAGTACAAAGCTATCATCTGAATATTAGTCTCATAATGTTGGATTTCTGAAGCTAATAGAAATGTGGATTTAAAATCAAGGATAACTCGGATATGATTATCAAACAACCCATTTAACCAAAGTGTGCCAAACTTTTAACGAACCCCAGAAACACTCATTATCACATTTTCACTGCATCTTCAGAACCACAAATATTAGACAAATTAGACAGTTAAAAAAATTATACTGTGGACTTGCATGTGAAAGGAAAACAGTGATGTTTTGTAAGAGATGGCAGTTTGTGTTTTCTTCTCATTATTTACTGTTGTGGAAATGATGTCTGAAGTGATCTGGGAAAGGAGAGGTCTTGAATCTTGGCTGTAAGGACAGAACTGTCTTTTTCTGTGCAACAGGAACCAAAACACGTTACTGCAGTCAACACGGAGGTGAAGTTCCTAGAAAGGTTCCTGAGAAAGGAACCTTGTATAAAGTGAAAAGAGTTATATGAAAACATTTTCTTAAAGATGCATTCTGATAAAGGTGTGTGTTTTCGTTTGGTTGGTTGGTTTTTACAGATGTGTATAAATTATGTTAAAACATTTTTGTATTTACACTTTTAATCTGCCAAGACACTGAACCAATCTCTCACCGTTAAGCAGAGTTTTTAGAGCAAACTGTAATGATTCAGCTGTTTCTAATATACCTCGGGCACCTTCTTTTATTCTGCTGCTATGTTTTTAGCATTACCAGTCAGCATATAAACGTGCATCAGTATGTGTGATAAGCTCCAGTTGCATATGTGAGCCAGGCCATTCTAGCAGGAGATAGTGGGGTGCACATTATGACCAAGCAAGTTAACATTTCCTGCTACAGATAACAGCTTGTGTTTCTTCACTCTCTATGTGAATCGGTTAAACAAAATCAAGGTCTGAGGCTGCATGTCAAACTGGGTCTTCTTCACAGATGTCTGTCACCGGGTGAGCACAGTACTGTGGCCTCAGAGTGATTGATTAACCTCTGTGTCGGTAAACTCTTATCTGTTCACACAGATGGGTGTGGACCGATCAAGGCCCCAGTTTAAACAAGCTAACTGTATGATTGGCTGATTATGCCCTTCTCTTTGTTCAGTCCCTCATTTTAAAGGTAAAACTGGTGACAGAAGAGCATTAGATATGATTTGTTTCTTTTGTTGGATAAAAATCTGCATTTCTGTTGCAGTAATTTTGCATATGACTACTTTTTTGTATATCTATCCCCTCCTGTATTCAGTGTTTCTGATTTGAAAGCTTTTAACGCAGGTGCTGAACTCGAGCATTTTTTGCTTTTCTTCATCCTCACTCTGTCATCTGTTCTACATCTTATTCTCTCCTCAGTCCAGCAAGGAGGATAAATTGTCGAGCCGTATTCAGAGCATGCTGGGCAATTACGACGAGATGAAAGAGCCGATTGGTGACACACTTCCAAAGCTTGGTGGTAAACCTTCTAACAGCTCGTCTTCATCTGAGGAGAAATCTGGCCCAGCTTTGTTTGGCGGTGACCAGCGTAGTGTTAGTGGTGGTGGCAGCAGTCAGAGCAGTAAGTGGACTCCTGTTGGCCCCGCAGCAGGTGGCTCTTCATCCCAATCCCAGAAACGCTCAGGACTCCAAGGTGGGCACGGGAGCCAGAGGGGCAACGGAGGCAGCGGCGGCAGCAGTAGCCAAAGACACGGAGGAGAGGTGCGGGAAAAGAAGTCAAGTAAACACAGTGGAGGGTCCGAGCACTCGAAGTCACACACATCGAGTCCAGCCAAGGGGTCTCTGACTTCCTCCAGCAGCAACAGCCACTCAAGGAGCTCATTAGCTGCTGAGCAGCATCACAGCAAGGAACGCTACCGCTCCAAGTCTCCACGAGACCGAGAGGCCAACTGGGACTCACCGTCCCGGGTTCACACCTCCTTCACCAGTGGTCAGCATTCAAGTCAGACTTTTCCCCCATCTCTCATGTCCAAGCCCATCTCCATGCTACAGAAGCCCACAGCCTATGTGCGGCCTATGGACGGTCAGGAAACGGCAGAAGCCAAGAGCTCACAAGCAGAAAGCTACAGTGGACAGTCACACAGCAGCACCATGGGAGAGATGAAGTCCAATGGCAAGGCCTCGCTTTCCAAACTCAAGATCCCCTCACAACCTGTAGAGGTAAGGCTCACTCTACAGGCCTTCATTTTTATTCTATTTTTAATGTATTCTTAACCCTGCAGCTCATGTTCATGCTCAATAAAGGACATACTGCTCTTTTATGGTGTTTAATATATAAATTATAGTAGTGGAGGTTGTGTGTAGAATTTATAGACCTCAAGTGGCAGGGCACTGTTTATATTTGGGGACATATGTTCATAATGATGCAGTAACTGTATTAAATTACCTCACAGACATTTGGTCTGACTGAACATGTACTTCTCATAAAAGGCCTATAGAATGACTAATGGTACTCAAAATGGAAGCCACCTTTCACCTGCTGTACTGACATCATGTTGTCAATGAACATGTGCTGAGCGTGATGCTTTTTTCTTTAGGGATCCGGTGACGCCAACTGTGTGGATGAAATTCTGAAGGTATGTATGCAGTTCTGTTTTTCTAAAAACTCTTCTCTCAGGGGAGCAGTTCATTATGAGTCTTCAGAAAATTTACTGCCGCAAGTCAGTGAAAGAGCGTTTCACATTACTCCCACCTTACAACTCGCTTAACATGTCACATTTTTCCCTGTGTTTTTCTTTTTCTTTCAGGAAATGACTCAGTCGTGGCCCCCTCCACTGACAGCCATACACACCCCCTGCAAAACGGAGCCCTCCAAGTTTCCATTCCCTACCAAGGTCAGCAATGTAGCAGTGTTGACTGCAAATGCTTATGCCAGGATGAGTTAATGAGGCTTAATTGTTTTTATTACTGTTGTATGGTGCAAGCAGACATTACATAACACATCCACAGAAAATGTCTTTGCTAACTATAGCAAGATATTTCATATTTATGAATATTAAATTTGATATGGTGTTGGACTCTTCAGTCAGTTTTGGTATTTATTTAATTTTCCTCTCACTTGGCCACAAACTCAGAAGAAACAACCTTTTGATTGATTGACTTATTCATTGGATATTGTCAGGTTGGTCAAGCATGAAAAAAAAAATCTACAGGTTCATGGAAATAATTTATTTTTTTATTTTTTTAGGAGTCTCACCCTTTTCCAAGTGGACACAGTGAGTATTGCACACATCCTTGATCCAAATCTTTAAACTAATTCTTTATTAAATAGTTTATATTTCTAATAAATGTTTATTTATACATGTTACTCATGAGTTTTGGGTGTATGTGATTTTCTTCCAGAGCGAGGCAGTTCTTCCAAGAGCTCTAGCAGCCACCAATCCAAAGCTTGCGATGACCAGCCCACGTGAGTACTTCATTCTTTTCTCCTGTTCCTCTTTTTTTCATCCTTTGTTTGTAGCTTTTCCAGTACTGATTCAGACAGCAGAAGGCAGGATCCAGAAGCAAATACAGGCACAAGGAAAACGTAATGGTGCTGATTGCAATTCCCTGGTTTTCTGCATAATCTGGTCATGAAATGTGTTTTATTTTCACTAAAGTGAAAAATATCAGCAGATCATGACTATTTGTGTTTTATCAGGTTAGAAATATTGTGTCTATGTGATCACATTTCATGACCATTTATGCAGAAAACCAGGGAATTGCAAACAGTGCTGTTACTTTTTTCTTGTGACTATATAAGTTAATGACATGCATATATGGCATCTGTGAATTATGTAGATGCAGCCAGCACTCCCAAACTGCAGCAGTTACACTGCTGTAATAAAATTTGTTTTATGAATCTCAGGATGCTGGAAGATGACCTGAAGCTAAGCAGCAGTGAGGATAGTGATGTAGAACAAGACTCTGCCAAGAATGCCTCAAGGAACACATCAGCAAGGTAAAGCATAGCGCATAGTAAATTTGTGAATCTTGAATGCAACTTCAGACTTGAGTTATTATTGACTCAAGTTTTAAACATTTGAGGCTGTGGTAGAGTTCTGCTTTGCATTTTACTGAAAGGTGATTTGCTATTTTATGCCCCTTAAGACCTGGTGCGCAAATTAAGTTACTCTTTCCTCTGTCAAAAAGAATGGATGGACTGGATCTGTTTTTGGTCATCGATATTTGTGTGTTAAAGCCAAATAGTACTGCCCTTGGTAAACTATGCAAAATGTGGGACACTTGGCGTTTAGTCTGATCAGAAATACAGTTTACAATGTTACTCCATAGGTGTGAAAAAGTAGGGTAATAATTTACATATGTTGACAAGTTTAAAAACTGGGTCCTTGCTGCTGCAGTAGCTGGTTGGGCAGGGTGTCTGTGTAGAGGGGTGCAGGACCTTAGGGACATCAAACTCTATATGCACAGGACACAGGCCATGATGCAGTTGTTCACACACAGGCTTCAGTGTTTCTCCTGTTAGTAAATATGCTGTTTCATAAGTTAGTCAAAACATGACTGCAATTGTACTGTACACCTTTTTGTAAACCAATATGTAATAATATAATGTATCTGAACCTCCTCTTCTGTAACAACAGCAATAATAGTGAAGAAGCAGAGCAATCAAGGGATGACTCCAGCAGCCACAGCGGCTCAGAGAGCAGCTCAGGCTCAGACAGCGAGAGTGAAAGCAGCACAACAGACAGTGAAGCCAACGAACACCCACGACCTGCTTCTCCTGAAGTAATCATTTAACAGTAATGATGTACAAAGCTCTTGTGCTACATAATGATCATCTGGAACTCTATAGAACTACTGCTAACTCTGTCCACCTACAGACTTGAGACTGAATGTTCTTTTATCTGGGCAGAATATCAGTGGTGTGGATTTTTCTGTTTAATTGGGTGTCATACATGACTTTTGCTCAATTTTCTTACTTCTCTGTGTTCTCCTGCACCCATCCAGCCTGAACAACCCATGGCCAACAAGTGGCAGCTGGACAACTGGTTCAAGAAAGCCAAGCAGTTCTCCCCAGCCTCTCCAGTGGACAACAACAATGTTCCAACCAAGTGCAAGAAAGAGGGCAGGGATAACAGCTCAGGACGCAGCTATGGTGGCCAGGGTGGGGGTTCAAAAGACTGTGCAGCACCCACCCCAAGCAGAGACCTAAGAGCGGCTCAAAAGGGTGTAGAGGGCGGCCGTGGTCGCCAAAAATCACCCGCCCAGAGTGAAGGTAGCACAAATCCGCGAATTCGTGTGGGTAAAAAACAGCCTAAAAAGTCTGAGAAGCCCCCAGTGGTGGAGGAACCCAAGGGAGGTTTGCGAGTAGAGAGTGAGCCAGCCCCGGAGATTCCTCCTCATCGGCCCAAAGCAGCTACTAAGGGTTCCCGTAAACCAAACATCAAAAAAGAACCCAAATCCCCGAGGCCCATCGCAGCTGCTGTCACCACCACCACTGCAGATAAGCGCAAGGCCAAGGCACCCACCAAGACTTCACAGAAGTCTCGTGAGTTTGTTGACACAGATTCGTCATCGTCAGACTCTGAGGGGAATGATAGCATTCCGTCCTCGTCGCAGACACCCAAGTACACAGAGAGCATCAGGACCCCTGTGTGTGTGTTTTCTCCAATGGAGGAGAAAGAGCTGCTGTCTCCACTCAGTGACCCTGAGGAGCGCTACTCTGCAAGGCCACCTCAGCAACAGGTTTTACTAGTAAAGATAGGTTAGTCGAAACTGCTCAAGGCAAAGATGCCTTTCAATAACATAACACAAATTTTCACCGTATTCTTCACTTGTTTTATGCCAGATGAAGTCCAGATGGAGTGCACACTCCTGAAGCTTCTCTTTATTTTGGACCAAGTGAAACTGTACCCTTCCTTCCTTTTCCTTCCCATTCCCTGTAGATCTCAGTTTGCTGTCTAGGATCCCAGGGCGGCCCTACAAGGAGCCCTCGGAGAGAAAAGTGGAGAGGGAAGACTCTCTAGACAGGGACAGCAAAGACTTGAGCAAGCCAAGCTCTGAGAAGAGCTCTAGCAAGGCCAAGAGAAAATACAAGGTAGGTTTCAGTGCTTTTTCTGTTAAATACATTTCATTAGATTTTATCTCGTTTTAAGAAGATAAAGTAGGAACATGCCATCAAGTGTTCCTTCTACTTAAACATTAGAAATTTTTAAGATGGCTCAAATGGGCTCTCCCAAAAAAGGTTTTTGTGTCTTTAGTTATGTTTTCACTGTGACCGTGCACACTGATGATTTACTTTGTTTGCACCACATTAGTTCACTTTTTTTCCTCATCAGAATATGTTTAACACCAGCTCACTGGCAAAAGACTCTAGTTTGGATTTTTAAATATGTTCAGATCACTTCCTACAGAGGCTTTTAATTTTCTGTGATCTTTGTCTTCAGACTGATGAAGAAGGAACCAAGCCAGAGAGCAAACGATGCAAGCTAGAAGAGAAGTCTCTGTCTCATCATAAAAACAGCAGTAAAGAGTGAGTATTCCTCATTTTATTCTCGATTGTCAGTAAACCCTCTGCACACCATGAACAATTGGCACCCTTGACGTAGCACTTCATTTTGGCCAGGAAAAATGAAGCTTGCCAGGTGTCTTTGTCTTTGTTTTACTATTCACAAAATGAACCCAGTAAACTCGGTGTCATAAAATCACAGCATAACAGCTCAATAATGTGGTTTGTTTATTACTTTGCAGCCTCTTCAAGATGCACCTCTTAACCTTTATTCTGACATCTATATGTTCCTGGTATCCATTTCCCTGGAATATTAACATTTAATCTTTGTTCAATAACAATTTTTCTTGTGGATTGAAGTACTGCTACAAAATTAGTCAATTTTAAAAATGCAGAAATATTTGTTTTATGATGATGAATCATGTCCCACCAGGTCCAAGAGGTCTTTGGAGAAGAAAGAGGAGCCAGTCCCCTCTCCTTCCATAACAGGTCTGCAGCGGACTCCCAAAGCAGAGCATCCAAGTCGAAAGAGGACAGTCAGCCAGTCCTCCACCTCTTTGTCCAGCGGGACGGGAAGTGGGAAGGAGGGGAGCCACAGCACCAAGAGCAACTCCACCTCCAAACACAGAAAAGGAGAAGACAAGGGACGCAGCACACGCGATGGAAAGGTGGGTGCCCATAGCTTTATCACCATGCACTTGTTCTCTGTGTGAATACTTGGCAAGCACTGGGAAGATGCTGAGGAGTGTGAGTGCAATCTTTCATCATGTTTGCCAACTGTGCAGTACGTTTCCCATGAGGGAACTTAAATAATGAAGCAAGCATGGAAAAAGAAAGTTGTTGCTGTGGGAGAAAGGGGAGTGGCTGAGATCATTGCTTGATGGGTGGGCTGGTGTGTGTACTACTGTTAATGCAGAATGTTAGAATATGCATGTTTTTAAAATATGATTTTACTAATGAATCTAGTATTTACACCGTGTAACCAGCAGTTAATCACTAGCAGTTATAATTGAATTATTTGGGTCTGTATGTTGTTACTGTATATGCCCAATATCCAGAGCATAGTACATTTCAAGTTTCTGATTTCTGTGCACTCACCTTTCAGTTTTATTCTCCACTTCAAACACCTGGCCTCTTTTTTTCTGAAACTTTACTCCCTCTCACTTGCTGTATCTGCAGGACAAATCCTCAAAGGGCTGTGATAACCAGCTGGCTGTGCCTCCGCTCTCCACGGACGGCTCCAAATCTCAGAGATCCAAGCTAGTATTTGAGGACAGGTAAGAGGAGCTCTTTCCACTGCACCCTGGGATATTCAGAAAGAACTACTGTGGGGATCTAGGGTTCCCTTTGATGCATGAAACTGTAGGAGGTTGGTTAGGTCATGAATAGATATGACTACCTGCAGGAAAAATGATGTAAATCTCAATTTTAAAAGGCCCTCTTCTGGGAATCGCTATTCCTTTTACACTGTAGTGAAGAAGTAACATAGTTTTGCTGTTGTCTTTTGTTGTAGAAGTTTGATTGAATGGAAGAACTGAGATTTAAGGTGTTCAGAGAATGTTTTTATGTGTACTTGTATGTGATCTGTTCATAATTTTCTTTCAGAGTCCATTCAGCAGATCACTACTTGCAGGAGGCAAAGAAACTTAAACACAATGCAGATGCACTGGTAAGAGTGAGAGTCTAATGACTATTTACGTGTGTAATTGGGATGTTATAGTACCAGTCGTTACCTGTAAAGCAGTGAACGTATTGTTTAAAAAAAAAAAAAAGATCCTAATGTAAAACTACATCCTGGTGAGATTTTGCATGGAGCTTAATTAGATATAGGTGCAGTTTAAGCTTTAGCATTTACTTTATTGCTGAAATGTGATTGCATAATATGTTATATTGGCACCAAGGGCCAGGCAAAAAACTAGGGGGGACAGAGCCTTTGCTGTGATAGGTCCAAACCTATGGAATGCCTTGCCGCTTTATATTAGGCAGGCCCCCTCACTGTCCACTTTTAAGTCTTATTTGAAGACCTACTTCTATTCATTGGCATTTGACCAGGAATGACACTCTGTCCGTAGTATTTAGTGTTTATATTACTGTCTATAGCTTTTTATGTGTTGTTTTTATATCTGTATGATATGTTAAGTGCTTTGGTCAGCTGTGCTGTGGTAAAGCGCTATATAAATAAAGTTGAGTTGAGATTTGTGTCAATGCCCATTTTCTTTCTTTGCGTTCTGTCTGTTTTTGATCATGACATCCATATAAAAACCAAACATAGATGTCTTTGTGACCTGGCCACCTTAACATGAACAAGTGGCTATAATTAGCTGCAGGTTTGGTATCAGATACCAGACAGACCAGAGGTACCTGTCTTTGCTGAATGTCATTTCCACTCAGTCATTTAAAATAATTTTGTTGCAGCTGTTTTTGCTTAAAAATAATATTTAACATGATCAGTTTTGGACAAACTTTTCAAATGTTCCATAATTTACCAGGATTGCAGTTAATTAACCAACAATACAATTCATTAGATCACATCTGTTATGTTATATACTGAGTTCAAAGGCCAACACGGGTATTTGGTCAAGACCTTGTCAAATTAAGTCATGTGACCAGCATTTAGCCCTCTACTGCTGCAACAAAGGGAAATGCAGAATTTGACTGGTATATGCTCGCTAATTCAGCTAACATTAAAGCTACAAGTTTGATTTTGTTTTTGCACCATCTTCCCTCATTTATAGTTGGACCGTTTTGAGAAGGCAGTCTACTATCTGGATGCTGTGGTGTCTTTCATTGAATGCGGTAATGCTCTGGAGAAGAGCGCCCAAGAGGCCAAGTCTCCCTTCCCTATGTATGCTGAAACAGTGGAGCTTATCAAGTAAGCACAGCCATAAATACCTTGGTCACTGTCACAGAACTGCCATTTAAAAGAGAACTCCACTGAGTTTATACATCAAAGTCTGTTCAGAAATTCTGTCACCTTATGTGTGGAAAAGACGTTTTATAAAGCTGTGGAGATGTGTGAAAACTGATCATTACCTACAGTAATGTCACATGATTCAGTGTTGATTTAGTTTGGGGGGGAAAGAAAATCAGGTTTTTCTCTGTTTAGTTTTTTTTTTATTACTGTGCCTTGTAAGTGTACAGGTTAATGGGTACAATGCTCAATTTGGAACACAGTTAAAAAGACAGTATTCTGTGTTAAATAAAATTGTGACTGAAATAAAAAATATTTCTATAATGATGCAAGCAGAGACTAAACAGTTGTTTCATTTGTACATTCAGATACACAATGAAGTTAAAAAGCTACATGGCACCAGATGCGACTTCAGCAGACAAGAGGCTAGCTGTACTTTGGTAAGTACACTAACTGACAGCAGGTTATGGATTTCCATTACATGTGTATATGCTAGAGATGTTGTCTTGTTCATAGGATGTAACTCAAAGAAGATTAAGAAGATTTGTGTGTTGAAGTAGCACAGATGTCTCTGGTAATTGTTTTTCTCTTTGCAACAATTAGAGCTGTACTTCCTAATTTGTCTTTCCAGCCTACGATGCCAGTCCCTCCTCTACCTGCGGTTATTCAAGCTGAGGAAAGACAGTGCACTAAAATACTCCAAAACACTGACAGAACACTTAAAGGTACGTTGTTTCCAAGACACTGAAATGTAGTTTTGCTTGGCAAACCATCAACACCACAGGAACACAATGTAAGTTTCAAGAAACCGAAACCTAGTTTTGCTTGGCAAACCATCACCACCACAGGAGCACAATTAAAATTCCATGAATGTAATTAATGCGCGTGACTGTGTAACATGCTTCCTCTCTGTGAATATAAAATTCCTCCCCTCATTTTGTTTGACAGAATTCTCTGAGTAACACCCAGGCTCCCTCTCCTGGAATGGGAAAGTAAGTCATGTTCTCCTTTGCTATTTGGAGATTGAAAGTATTGTAAAAGAAAAACCTGTTTCCCCCACACAAGTGGTTGATGTTGACATAAAGTATCCCAAATAAGTGAAACATTTTCCCAGAGGTCACTTTTTTTTTTTTCTTTTTAAACACAAACTCGCAGAATATAGCAAATACTGTTTTATTTACCACCTGCTGTAATGTCACTAGTTTTCATATTTTGTGCAGTACAGTCTGAAGTTATTGAATTACATAAATACAGTCAGCGATATTCAGTTTGTACTGTCATGCAGTCAAAGGTGTTTGCTTGACTTCTAAAGATAACGGTCACCAAACTGCTGCTGAACGAGCACAAACACTCATCACCATGCCTGGTTGTTTGTGTGTCCTTGCAGTAAGGCAGCGGGTATGCCTTCTCCAGTGTCTCCCAAATTGTCTCCGGGCACAGCCGGCAGCTACTCAGCAGTCAGCAACAGCAGCAGCAGTGCCAGTTCTTCTGTGACCATACCTCAACGTATCCACCAGATGGCTGCCAGCTACGTCCAGGTCACCTCCAACTTCCTGTATGCTACCGAGGTCTGGGACCAGGCTGAGCAACTCTCTAATGAGCAGAAAGGTAAAGTGCCTTAAAACTAGGTTTATGTTGTTTTTTTTTTGTCATTGCTAGTTAGGTGGCCCTTCAAACCTCTAGCGTTAACCTTTTTGAAGGCATACAGTCATATACAAAAGTCTGGGCAAATTACATATTTGAATTAAAAAGTAAATACAGCCCTCTTCAAATGTTCTGTGGAAGACGTTGTTCAGCTGTTTGCCTGCTATAAAAAAGTCCATGGAGAAAAGTAAATCCAGAGAGGATTACTCTCAAAATATACCACTTGTACCATAATCATCTACCATGATAAGATCATTTCTACATATTAACTATCTATATTAAAGCAGACTGGGCCGAATCAGGGGCTGGTTTCACCTTTTTTATTTTACAACACTTGTCAGTACATAAATATTGCTCTGAAAATGCATTATTTGATGTTCATTTATTAACCTACAGATCCATGATGACTGGTGTCATTATGAGTAACTTATCGTTATTGCTCAATGCACAGTGGGGAAGTCGGGGGATATGGAGGCATGGCCCACTAACCCTCTCCCATTAACTTTATAGGAGTTTCTGTGGCACTGTTTTTTCAGCAGGGGTGCATGATGCTTATTACAATTATGGGTTCCACTGCAATAATTAATATTTTTCATACCAAGAAAAGTCACAATTAATCATGTGTAACATACTGATGATATAATTTACTTTGCCAACTTAAATGGCTGGTGAACAAGCCAGTCACTGAAGCTTGCATATAGGTATACACACGGTCAAGGTCATGAGTGTTTGTTGGTTTACAGTCCTAGCTACTGTCTCTTGAAATGACATTAAAGCTACACATTTGTCAGTCATCCCCAAATCTGGTGCTATGATTAGTCAAACTCTTCATAATCTTCTTCATAATCTTCTTTGGCTTCTTTCGTTGTGGTAGATTTTAACATTACTGCACAATAGGTGTCAACAAGTGTTTTATATACTTTAGATTGACAAATCATACCAGCATACTTTGATACCAAACCGTGTATGGTTTGGCAGGTGTGCAATTAACTAACTAGAATTAACGCTTCACGGTTGTAAGCCCTCTGCCGACCAGTCAAACTCACAGGAATGGGATGGACATAAGGTCACAATCACCTTTGAACTGTGAACACCAAAATTTAATCAGTTCATCCTTGAGTCCAAGTGGACGCTTGTGCCAAATTAGAACAAATTCCCTCAAGGTGTTTTTGAGAGACCACCAGAAAATATAATGCCTCCTGCCATGAAACTCATGGAGTCATAAACATGGCGAAGAGATTAAATAGTAATAGAAAAAAATCATTTTAGTTCTATTCACCTTAAATAAATTAAGCATACCAGGACTTGAACTTAACCAACCAAATTGAACTTGCCTCACTTGCCCCTCTTGCTGTGTCTTTGTTTTCCCAGACTTCTTCTTGGAGTTGGACAAGGTGATGGGTCCTCTGATTTTCAACACCAGCAGCATGACCGAACTGGTGCATTATACACGGCAGGGCCTCCACTGGCTGCGCTTGGATGCAAAGCTTATTCCCTAGCGAGCATTCGCTCCCTGCACACTGCTTCCACACACACCCACACCTCAGCCTCTTGTGTGCGCAAACACATGCCCTCAATGACAGACACACAATTAATTATGTACTGTATGCGCGCACACACACACACAGTCCACCTCTGGTCCTCCATGTGCACGTTGAACTTTTCAGACATATCTCCAACACTGTGTTCATTTTCTGCACCAGCTTGCCAAAAACACTGAGCAATTTATAAACGTCTCACTCCTTTAACAGCACCACACGGGGAGGAGTATCGAACCTGAAATGCAGGAACGAAGAGCTTACCGCCACGCTTCATATATCAGCATTCTTACTAAATCTTTAAAGGCTGTGTTTTAATCTCTTTGGCATGGAAGCGCTGGGTGAATTGTTTTAAATACACGAAAAGTGGGGTTTGGTTTCTAGGCTACTTTGGCTATTAACCTTTTATTTTGTGTCACCAAAGTACCTCCCTCAAACACCAAAGGTGCTTTAAAATGAAGGTTTCTCTTTATAATTTTTGTGCCTTGTATGTGAGCTACTAGATGGAGGTCACTTGTCATATCTGAAGTTATTTTCTTTGCCCTCTTTTTTTTTTGTATAGATGCAGTTGTTTTATGCATTTTTAAACTGGCTCTATTTATGGGTTTTGTAGCAGCCTTTCAATTTTCAATCAAGTCCTCTTAAAATATTGGACACTTTAGAGTAAAGATGGTGTTGGCCACCATTTATTAAACTACCATCTTGATTGATCTTTCAATGTTTTAAGCAGAGGGGAGGTTTAAGGACTGCAGGAAGGCCTACGGTGCACAGCAGATTAATACTTATTACACACACACACACACACATATATAAATGTTCTCTTAGAAGTTACATTGATCAGTGTATTAGTTTTAAACAGTGTCTCTTATTTTCCCAAGTCATGAACTTATTTTACCCAAGCTTGCTGATGGATTTGTTTGACAAATGGCAGTGTGTGTTCAAGCCACATTGTTCCTATTGATGCAAGGAACACCACGGCCTCTAGGGGTTGCTAGTGGGAGCATTTACACTCATGGCCTTTCTAAAATTGCTCATAATCTCTATTAAGAGATTAGCTGCTTCTTTGAAGCTTAACAATAAAGGTCTCTTCCTCTGAAATGTTTTTACACATGTAGTTAGTGTGTTAATGGAAAAATTTCCTTGAGGAAGAGTCACTTCCAGACAGTGTTGGTCTTTTTTTGATTCCCTTGTTTGCTCTGTGTATTTTTCTAAAAAGCAGCAGGGAGTGTCTTAAGTATTGAACATCATATCCACATATACAATGCAGTTTATACAAACTGGGCCTGTGTAATTCGGCACGACAAAATTAAAGTCATCTGAAAGATGTTCTTTAGAGAGGCAAAGTCAGCAGTGGTGCAGATTAGCATTGTTGCATTTATAGAACAAAGAGTTTTAAATCTATGACTATATTTCACATTTAAACATTTAACAGCCAATACAGATTTTATTTATATATCAAGCAGTTTCCTCCTTCTGGCCAAGCAGAAGTATAGCTTTTCAAATGCAGTTTAAAGCAGGGTTAAACAGGGCTTATAAGATGCAGAGTATTTGTATATGTAATTGTTCCTATTTAACATTTAAAATCTTAATCATGCTTGTATTACAAGACATTAGATAAGGGATGTATCACCTAGCTGTTGGTAAATGAGGTATAGACGGCAGAGTTACCTGTGTATGTCTGTTCAGATTTGAACATTTCATTTATTTAAAATTACTGGTTGTCATTAAAGTAAAAGTCAGTGGTTTTAAATGAAGACACTCATATTACACCCAAGATTTTAGTTGCTATTTTCATGAATGCCAATGGTCAGTAACATGAAGGACTGTCCTTGTTATTTAAAGCCCACTTCCTGGGAATCCTGGGCCAACTAGTATTCATGGCAGATTTTAGCTTTAGGTGATGGCAGATGCTTTTTTTTGACACTAAAACAACAGTTGAGATTGTCTTTAGTTTTCTGGCACTTTTGCAGTGTTTCTCAAGAAAACAAATCTTTAGAATAACTGCTTTGCCCAGGCTTGATTTTTATTTATTTATTTTTTTTTGACTGGCTCCCTGACCTTTATTGTAGGAGGGGAAACTGTTATTTCCTCTGGCACTTGAAAAACACAAAGTCAGAGGAGGTATTATTTTAATCTATGCAGGATTTTTACAAAAAAAAACTGTGGAAAAAAGATAATTTTTAAGCTTGGGATTTTCTCCCCATGTCTTTGTTTTTCCCGCCTCAGCAAGGAACCTGTTGAACTCAAGTGTCCAATGCCTTTATCTTTTGTAATTTTGTCTACTAGTTTAGTATATATGTGTATATAGATCCTTTTTTATAACTGAACACAGATGGCTTGAGCCATTTTGTACTTAAAGCTGGAGACCACTTTTCCCATAGGAATTCTTCTGTGGGTTTTACCACCCATGTCAATGTCTTCATACACTGGTACACTTTGTAAGTACAGGTCCAAGCTTTGTGTTCGTTCCGTACACTGTCTTGTTGTCAACTGTACTAAATTAGCGTTAGAATAATTTTTAACCGTTTGCTACTCACACATTTATTTTTTGGCCCCTTTGCTTAATATTTTTTTCTATTTTTCCTTCTTAAGGAGCGCCATTTTATGACATAGATGTAAATGTATTGGGGTTGAAGATGAGATCTCATTTTAATTATTAATTTGAACATGAAAGAATCAGGGTAAGATGAGGGTTTTTTTGACATTTGGTAGGAAGATGTTAACACTTGCATGTTTCTATTTAAATACAAATGTATAAATTGTAAATAATATTTCTTTAAGGGTGAATTTCTAATACAGGTTGACATTTTTATTAAATTTAAAAATGCTGTAAATGTATTTGTGAAATACTTTTATGCACATTTTTTCCCCTCTGTGAGCTTTTGTGTTCAATCTTAAGTTGTTACAGATCCAAATCTCTTTAATGCTGTATGTCAGATTTTTTTTTTTTTTTATAATTGTGCTCGTATACTTTTCCTTATTCACTGTCTCTCAGTATCATGTTGCCACATAATCATTATTGTCTCCAGATTCAAGTGTGAATATTTTGTCTGTCCGCATTTGATATGGAGGCATGTACTTTTCATGAAATGTATATTGTTGATTTCATGGAATGAACAGATGCCATGTACAGTCTGTTATGTAAAACCATGTCTCTCTTCTTCACGAAGAAGATGTATTTACTGTGTCCTTTTAAAATAACTGGTCCATCATGTCTTTTTGAAACAGAGGTATTTCTCTACACATCAGAACAGTTGTAGCAGTTTATACAGTATGTTGTGTAACACCCATTTTTCTAACAGTTGTCTCTAAAGTGAGACCAGCAGCATACACTATGTACAGTAGTCTAATTTGGATTAGTTTTAAAAGAACTGATGATAGAGATATTATATATGATGGATGCAATATGATTAAAGGTACTCATTGAGTTTGATCTTCAAACTTAGGTTATGTAATTTAAAAACATTCTTGTGAAGTGAGTATTAATTGTGACTGTCCTGAATATTCTTTGTATTTTGCTGTATTGAGAATTAAAATATATATGGATATGTTTAATGGAGTGTCAGTCATTTTATTTGAACACAATCTACACTTACAGTGTAGTAATCACAATATAAACAGAAGAAAGTGACAATCAGTGAGAAAATTAGGTTAATGTTTCAGATTGAATTGCAAAGAATAAATGGGACATTTAATTGGTCATAATTTGAAATGATCTTTGCTGTCATCTAATCATTTTTGTCATTGATTCTTTGTGGGTATCTTATGGTAACAGAACAGTCACAACATGGACATGGATGAGTGTTTCGCACAGTTTAAATCAGGATATTTTGAAGGCGGCTTGGACTACTGCAAAAATAACTAAAAATACATGATTGGCTTGGACATGATTAACATTTACACAGAAGATTGTCTGTATCCTGAACTATCCAAATATGTTTCCTCAGTTTGTCTAGAGCAATAAGAAATACATGGTGCTCACATAATTTTCATGTGCATGAAACAAAGGTATTCAAAGTAGTTTATATACTGTAGCTTCACATTGCAGAGCCTTTTGCAAACGATTAGCTGCTTTCAGTCCACATTGCACTGCTCTGAGAATATTAACTCATATCTGGACTCTGATGTTTCTTCATTGCCATTTTTGCTTTTTCACATTTTTAGTTTTTTGCTATGTCAGTTTAGCTTATAGTTATTAAAAGATAAGCATTTTGCTTGGCAGTAGTGAGCTCAGTATGGCACTAAAACCAGTGGTGGAAAGTAACTTCCTAGACTCAAGAGACTCCCAAGTACTGTACTACAGTACAATTTTGAAGTAATTTATTTGTCTCCCAAGTACTGTACTACAGTACAATTGTGAAGTAATTTATTTGTACTTCTACTCCACTACTTTTATCTAACATCTATAGTTAGTAGGCTAATTATTATAATAACATAATATTCAAATGATATAATAAACAATAGTATAACAGTTTTTAGCACTGGGTGTTATTACCTTTAAAACTTTGAATTTGTTTTGTTTACATTTTTTTTACTTTTATGTAACATTATCAAAGCATGACTTTTACTTGTAAGGGAGTAGACCCATATGTGGTGTTAGTACTTTATAAAGGACTAAAGCATCTGAATACATGTTCCCCCACTGATTTTACTTAAATTGTTTCAGTAGTTTACTTCTTTCAGCACTGACTAAACTTGTTACCTCAGCTTTAACTTCTGCCTCTTCAACATGATCATCAAAACAATACAGAGAAATTCCAGCTTTTACTGCTCTGCCATTAACACAGACTGACCAATAGCATGTCGTGTTTTACCAAAATGCCCGCCTCCCGTCGCACCTGATTGGTCTGCTTGGTCTTCTGTTACCTTTCATCCAATTCTCTATCCCTAGCGGATAAGGTAGGCCAAGTGCGAGCGAACGGAAAGGGAAGCTCATTACCGGGGGTTGGCGAGACTCTCCAGCCATCTATATATAAGTGAATTCTGCTTGTCACTTATGTATTCCTATTTCTTAACTGTTGTTCGTCCGAGAAGCGGAAACAAGGACTACAAGTTGAACTGACCGTGAATCCGCAGGTACGTGAAGGGAAGTCCTGTAGCAGCAGGTGTAGCCAGTATCGCTGTGGTAGCTCAGTTTCGGTTGTCAGCTGTCAACCTGTTGCTTTCTGGTTCTTGAGAACATGATGGTTATAGGGTAGCTTTATATAAACAAACCGAGCCCTTTATATTAAACCTTTCTTTGTAGGTGTATTTTCTGTAGTTGTAATAATGAAGTAGACATTGTCCTCGAATAAGACGCAACTGTTCTCAGTTCAGTTTTGTTAGGAGCTAATATTAGTTGGCAAATATTACTTGTTAGTAGTGATGCTTGTGACTGATACAACATCACATATCTCCTGTTGTATTCCTACAGAACTGTCTATGTTGTCGATTTCTAACTAGTAGATATATTGTAAATGTAATTATTTTATAATATAGTAACTAGTATACTAACTATACTACTAAGGTGTATGTAGACCTAAAAAGATTGTCCAATTAATAGTGATCCACATAAAATTAATCTGGAACTACTTTTATAATCCATTTAACATAGTCATTTATAAAGCTAAAGTACCAGAGATGTGCTTGTAATAAAGTAAATAATCATTAGTTGCAGCCCTAGATGGTGTAAAGGTAAACCATCTAGGGCTGTAGTCTGTCTTTAATTATACATGTTCCTTCTTCTTGACTGTTTATATTGGATTAGTGTTCAAACATTTAGCCTATCATTTAATTAGTAAATCCACCTTAAATATCTAAGGCTATAGTGGAACACAGCAAGCACTATTTCAGACATTAGTGCTGTTTAGTTGCAGACCTGTAATGGACAGTGTGGATAGGAGGGAGACAAGCTGCAGCCCAAACTACTGTTATCACTACATTTAATTGCCATTGGCGTCCTTTGTTGTGCTGTACACTTATGAAGTGTCCTTTGTTTGCCATTGTCATGAGAACAACACAGTACTCTCTTCCATTAACCTTATCTCCTTTGCTCAAATTGATATCTGGCCCTGAATTATGCACAGGAGGGCCTGTCTAATTAATGACTGGGCTATGTTTTATTTAAGGTGGGGACAAAAGACTCCACGGCTGTGGTGTGGGCAGAGAGACACTGGTGTTTTATACTGTGGCTGAAAGTGAAGTGCTCACAGAGTGCGTTGGTCAGATGGTGGGCGCAGGAAGAGCACACTGGCCTTTCTGTGCGCTGCTGCTGGATGCTGTGCTTAATCCACTGACCCCACAAACTGTGGACTCCGAGAACTTTACACAGACCTTTATAGGGATGTTAGTGCAGAGCGTATTGAGCACAGGTGAAATGCACAGAGACAGTAACAAGAGGCAGATGCATAAGAACCCAGAAAACAGGCATTCACCTTCTACATGCAGGTGCCCTCATAAACACCTATTGATCTGAAACTCCTTTAATGTTGCTCTGCTTGGATAGTCATGTACAAGTACTGACTCTGCAACACGCTTCATGCAGCTTGACTCAGAGTTGTGGACAAGTGGCAAGACACATATTTGGCAATCGCTGCATAGAGGTGGTTTGTTTGTATGATCGCTTGAGTCTCTGGTGTGTGTGTGTTTGCAGCAGTATAAGTGAAGAAGACAGGAAGCCAGAGACAAAAGAAGTAAGCAAATAGAAGAGCAAAGCTATAACACAGAGTAGGGTCACAAAGCTGTGGGCAATACGGCGGGCATTGAAATGTGATCTCTTTCTCTGTCTGTCTTTCTCCCTCCCTCCCTGTGAGGAAACAAAAAAAATGTCTTCACAGAATTGATGGTGTTCATGCAGAAAAAGCAGTTTAACAAAATAATACAGTTAAGTCACTTTGGACGTAAATCAGTCAACAATACCCGGGTTTCAAACACAGATGAACAGTAGTCAGGGGTTTGGGACTCTATGTGGTGTGTTGTTGTTTGACTTGATGAGGCTGGTCATTTTTTAAACGGTGGAAAATTACTCATAATGGGTTTGAGTGTGTGGTTTGGTTTCAGGTGTTTACATTCTTTCAGTGACCTTTTGGACAACTCACCTCTGCAATGATGAACTAACTGGTTTGACCACATGAGTAAGGAGAGTTTTAGGTTCAGATTATTATTACATACAAAAAAACGCATTTTGTGAAAATGTGACTGGAAATTATCCAGGTGATATGGGAGGATTAACATACAACTGACACTTCACTTTAGATTTTTTATAAAAATATAATTAAATCCCAGAATTAAAGCAGCTAATATGTGGAGAACTCTTTATTGAATGACTGTTTGCTGCTGTAATTAACTCTTTAACACTCTCCGTGGTTTACTTCGAACTCTAGTGAACGTGTCACATGTAGCAACAAGGTATCGGAGTCATAAATCGATTTACAGCTGTTACTGTTATCTGAACTGATTATACTTTCCTGTAATGAAAGTGACATCTTATTGTTATTACACCTCTTCCTTTGTACCTGCACAATGTGAGCCTTTCACTGACATTGTTGGCTTCAGGAAAATAAATGTGTCTTATGCCTTTGTGAAGGAAACAGGTGATGTAGTGAATGATTCAACCGAAGGAATGGGGAATTCACTGGTGTTTTTTTACAGTGAAATGATTGACTCAGGCTGGCTGTCATCTAGTATAAGAGAGGATTGTCAGGGATGTTTAATATAAACTACTAGCATGTGATTTAGTGTGATTTACACTATACAACATTCTGGTTTGTGGCATACATGTTAGGCTGCATGAATATTGATAGCACAAAAGTGGGCCTTGCTGGTGGGCTGGATGATTCTGGATGTGCTGGTTGAATCTGACCTATGAGAGCATAGTGGTCATCAGACTATTGTCCTTCATGGCAAAGTTTTTCTACTTTGAACCAGGCAGTTTACTGTGTGGGTACACAAATAATTTCATCAATGCCTGTGGGAAGGTGGACTGGGCCATGACACCTAACCTACAACAGAGTTCTATAAGGATTGTGAGATACTGTACATACTGAATGAGACATGCTTCTTACTAAGTAATGATGCCCATGTTTCTCAATGACCTGAAAACATGTTTGACATTCCTGTACTGCATTTTCTTGTTACTTATTGGCAGACAGTTTGTGTTAGTGTGATTAGCAACAGTCACAATGGCAGAACAATGAAAACAATGCCACTTGCAGAAAGTCCTTCAGAAAAAATCTAAATCCAAGCTACACGGCTTGACTTAAAATCTAAAAAAAAAAAAAAGCACCACCACATTGATCACAGATTATGACTTAAAGGTTTTAAAATGGTGATGCTGATGCCTCTAGATGCATCAACAAAAGGGTGGGGAATGTACCAGGTCATGTTTTAAACCATTGTAAACTGAATATCTTTAGTTTAGGACTGTTGGATGGACTAAAAAAGACATCTTAGGATATCACTGTGGTCATCTGGCATTTTCTTCACAACTCTTGAGATTTTATACACTAAAAAAAATGTAATGTAATGCTTCCTTAATTAACTCCCTGTCTGA